ATATGGATGTGTCTGTGGATTTGTCTACTTTGTGAGAGTGCACATATACTATACATGCCTGTGGAGAGACAAAAAGGAGAGATCATCTCAGAGCACTGGTGGACTAAAGTGGAAAGTCATGCTGAGGGTGAGATGCGTGTCTGATAAGTAATGGATGTTGGCGCACAGTGGAGACCAGCAGTAGAGGAGTGGAGGTGACTAAAGGTCTGATGGGGAGCTCACCTCCATCTGAGATTGCAGTGTGGAGGTGCTGCTCCCTACACACTTACTTTCACACTCATTTTCTACTCAGCCATAAGCCCAATAAACACATACAACAAATCCTCAAGTTCTCAGTCCCCAGCTCTCCCTCAAAAAGCCAAATCATGGGAATTTATGCATATATCAGACCTCGATTAGCCATGCAAAAGCTCTTGATTACACACACAAGCATGTCTCACACACAGTGCGTCAGTGAGTTGCACATAGCACAAATATCTAATCAGCTCTGCCTGGTGTGAGTTACAACCTTTGGTTGTACTGTGTGGTTTAAATGCTTGCTTGTGTTCACCTATAATATATATAATATATATCCACTTTTGTGATCTTCTCAAAAAGCACACAAGTTCCAGCATTTGAACTCTATTTGAACTTAGGTGAACTTTGTATAAGTGTCTGTGTGTTTCAGAGATAACGTATGGTTATGTGTAATGAGATGATTGCTGTAAAAAAGTTTCAGAAATGCTAATAGGATCTTATTTTTCAATAAGACAACTTGTAATTGAATGCAATTCCTGTTCCATTATGTTGTGTACTATAGAACTGAGTAAAAATATCACTGAGTATAGTATATTTTTTTAAAAGTTGCAAAGAAAAGTTGGATATATTTGGCTATTTCTGGATCAAGAGCAAAAGGCATTTTTTTAAAACAGAAAACCAGACACTGCTTTAAATTTTACTGTTATTTTAAGTCTGGTACTAGCAGGAGGAAGTAGTAGTTGTCAGAAGATTAGAGACACTTCTCAAAACAGGTTCAGATGTGTTAATTAACTTGCAGAAAACACATCACGGTTGAATTAACAAAATAAAAAACTAGTGTCTGAGCTAAAGGTTGAAAACCACAATTTAGAATATGTATCTAATGAAAAGCCATTATATACTGAAGACCTAACTTTTTCTGCCGAGTAGAGGGACAGAGGGAGGGTGTCGTGAAGATCCAGTGTAATTTGTGGAGTCTCTTTCATTTATGCCTCCACTGACTATAAATCATAGTTCAGCAACAGTCAGGAGATACGATTGTTACAGTTTGCAGCCTGTTTTTATGTTTAGTAGTTTCATTTTCCACTATAAAGGACAAAAAGAAAAAAGCCATCATCTGTGAGCATGTGTGGCTAAAACAGAAAAGGCATTTCTTGTAGCTCAATGACAGTGTCTTTACAGTGATTTTCAGGGAACCAAATTTGTAATAAGAAAATGTAAAATGTAAAATGTAACCTTTAGGATGGCACCGGATAAAGACCCAACTAATAGCAAGGATTCACCCCTTTGAAAAGTCCTGGGTCAAGACACTCGAGCTCTGACAGTTCTGTCATCCAGGGTCCTCTGACGTCACTGTTGGGGGGACAAAAAGAAATCCTCTAGAAAGATTAATCAGGCACTGGGACTAACATGCTTGCCACTGTAGATATTTACAGATGGAAGACTAGGTTGTGACATGCCATACACAGCTGTAGTTAAGGGTGCTTTATTGAATTTTCTTTTACATGTTACTCATCTAATCACATTGAATCTCTTCTAGACAAATTGTAAACCTGCAGTGTTTTCCTCCAGGTTTACCACTTTGTCTGTTCCACTACATTAGTTATTTCTCATCTTAGACAGGATTGTTTCATGGAAACAGTTTTATTAGTCATTTATGCATCATCAGTTTGCTATCGATGATGGCTGCAGCCCACATTATGGAGTTGTCTTTGTTGGACAATGTTAACAAAAGAGGCTGATGTCAGATTTGTTAGATGATGGTGATCCCAACAAAACATAAAAGTGTGTGTCTTTGTAGAAATATTTATTGTAGTGTTGATCCAAGTCTGTGTGTTTGTCTTGAGAAAAATTCTAATGACTGAGTGCTTTGTGATGATCATAAGTGGTTAAGCTGTTACAACAGACCTTAAATATCACAAAAACACCCAGGGACCTAATGTCCCTCACTCCTGAGAAATGAGGTCGGTGCCCATTGCCAGGCTGGCCCTCGGCACATAAAGTCCATACCCACAGCAGTGACTAATTGTTTGTTATGTCAGTGCTTGTCGTGCCCGTTTGCCTTTAATGGAGTGTAGTGTGGTGATCCATCAGGCTGTCGAGCAAGCCCCATGTCGGTTGAAGTGGCTGTGTGTCAGTGGGGCGAGCGTGCCGTGCAAATGTGATTTACTGCCCTGCTTGTTGTACCGCACTGTGCCTCTCCTCTTAGCCACACAATGCAGCCCACTCCCCTCCTCTTCTTCCCTTTTCTCTTCTCTCACCCCAGATTGATTACCAACGCAACTGGCTCATGACACTCGCCATCTTCTGGCAACCTTTTAGTGCCATTTTATAGATGGTTAGCGCACCTCATTTGGCTATTTATATATCTGTAAGTGGCCATGAAATATAGATTTGTCTTGATGGGTGTCAACATTGGAGCTATGGAAGCAGAGCTCAGTGACACCTCGTTATTTTAATGGTGTGAGATGAAGAGGCCGTATGGCAGGAGTAATTTTCAAACATTGCAAAATGGTAACTGCTTTTATTTTCATTTAATGTTTGCATGCATTTTTTATTCAAAGCAATAAGCCTTATTTTTTCAGACTTTTGTTGGTGCTGAGGGACAGAGGGAGAGAAGTAACTGAGGTTGGAATGGAACACCCTGCCCCTTTCTCTCACACATACACATGCTCTAAACCATGTATTCTACTATATGTGAATGTCAAGGTGCTTCAGAGTGAGAAGAAACCTTAACAGTAACATAATGTGTGACCTGTCATCCCCACACACGCATATATTTCATTCCATTCACAAGCAAGACCTCATAGTAATTAGACGTTGGCACCCACTCTGCAGCGTGCTGGTTAATTGAATAGTTAACACATCAGAGGCAGGCCCGTGTAGATTGGAGGTGACACCTGTCAGGAAGCTGCTCTCTGCCAACCTAGGACATTTCTTGCTCTGCCTGATACATATGTCATCTTTCTGGAAATACCAAATTAGGGGCAGGCAGCTGAATGAGTGCAGTGCAGCAGGTGGTGAGATGGCTTGCGGGTGGAAGAAGGCAGGTGTGCCTCTGCTCTGTCCTTCAGGAGGATTTGTAAAGCTTGGGGTACATATCCTTACTTCACCTCGGGCCATTTCCATGAGTATATGACAGGAAAGTGACACCTCTGTGTGTGCATGTGTGTGTGCGCCTGTGCATGCTTTGACAGGCTCTCCTCCAGGCCCGCAGATCAGTGTGCCCAAGGCGTCCAGCTGTAGAGTATGCACCACGCAGCGGTGTGTTAGCTGAGTAGAGGTGTCCAGACTCAACCGTCTTAAAGCAGCTGTCTGGCAGGTAGGCTGGCATTTGCAAAAAATTAGTTGTTCATCAATTGAAACTTTTTATCCCCACATATAGTGAAACTGTGTGAAATTGCATGCGTTTCCTGACTCAGTGCTTGCGTTCTTGTCTAGAGCTGTTGGACCTTCAGGAAGCAGGGAGCAGCTGCAGGCAGAGGTCTTGTTAGGGACCAGTGTAGTCAGTAGGAGATAACACCTCTGGAGTCGAGGGTTACCACACAGGATGACCTGGAGGCTGCTCACAGCCAAACCACTAAAGACAGCAAAGTACCAGCTGGGAAGTGTACTCATGTTACAGTTAGAAGCCATTCCCTGAATACAGTAGTTTAAAGTCACAGGCATACACTCTCACACACTCTATTCATTATGTCCTCTCACTTTTTCCTCAGCAGTGCAGTGAATGAGCTACTCTGTCAGGCAGAGATGGATCTGTTGAAAACATGGGTATCTCTGTAGAGAGGGTCTGTGAAGACAGCAGCAAGTAGCTGGAACCCCACAGCCCTATAGCAGAACTTCACTGTCTCACTGTGACCCAGCGTGGCATCCCCTCAGCCCAGCTGCTTGGAGCTCGAATGAATTAAGACCACTGCAAAGACTTGGGTGTAGGAAAACAGTGCAGTTGGTCTCTTTACCTGATTGAGGAGGTACTGTCCTACAGTGTCTGTGGACATCGCAATAGCGCAAGATAGTGTCTCTGTGGGACCAGCTTATCACTTTTGTGACCCGTCACGTTTCATCTTCCTCTGTCCCATTCTATAGTCATTCTTCACTGTCACAATAGACATAAATGTCTTGAAGCTCCTGAAAGTGTTTTATTGGAAACGTAGTCAGGCACGTTGTTTTCGCCCTACTGTCGGTTTTATATCACTCTCTCTGTTTCTGAGATGTCTTTTAGAAGAAGCTATTCAAATTACAAAATCAAGAAATGAAAGAGACATTGAAACAAGGGGTGACTGAAATGGTGTAAAGTACAGAGAATGGAAAAAAGGAAAGAAGTGACAATGACAGGCCTTGCTGTCAGGTTAGTGAGTCTACAGTGCTGGCTTTAATATATTGGGTGCAGCAGTCACCTGTGTGATGTGGCAACTGCTTCAGCCACTCCCCTGCAATGAAACTTCCCATCAGTGTAGAGCCATGGGCCTGTGTAATACACACATATAATCTACACAAGACACTCATTCTCAAGAAACCCACTTGTGCCAACTATGAAAGCAATACATAGAAAAAAATCCTAACAAATAGATGTACATAGAAAACAAAGATCTGTGAAAATATAAATAGAGGTAAAGATCACGTTTGTTAGCAAAATAACAGGTTAAACTCATTTTCAGTCATTTCAGTTGTTTTACAGAAGTAAGTCTACCTCGCAGGCGATTCTAAAACAGTTACAAGCACTAGTTGAAGCTGCACTACAGGAACAAAAGTGTATTTAGGATTTGCATTGGTGTGAGAGTGCATGTATATTTGTTTTATGCGTGATTGATTTTAGATTTCTGTTTTATACTGTATGTGTATGTCTACCTAGGCACTGGTCTGACAGAAGGAGAGGACTTTGTTGTCAGCAGGTGGGCATCTGTGGACTCAGCATTTGCCAGCAGAAGTCACAAAAACTCAGCAGCTCCAGAGCTTTAAGTGCAAAGCTACAGGTATGTTGTATTCCCTACAGCGTTGAGAGCTTAAACCAAAAAATATTAGCATTTCTCAGAGCTGTTACTGTGAAACTGAATTTATATCTCATGTCGTCCCTAGTCGATATGAAAAACACCAGGAAATCATCTAACTGTGCAGGTTTTAAAAACTCCCCCGTGGCCCTCACAGACCCTGCTAGTGGCTGACAGATGTTTCCGCACTGTGACTCTTGGTGTCCTCTGCTCTCTGTCCCCTCCCACCCATCCTTTTCCTCCCGTTCTACACTGTCCATCTGGACTGTGTGTGGGCCAGATACTCAATAGGTGGATCATTCAGGTTGAAGCCCTCTTGTGAGATCAGGTGTTTAACTGGACAGCTAAAGTGAGATGGCGGCATCTTAACCAGCACCTTGCCAAAGGTTTCATGTTCACTCAGCCACTGGAGCTGCTGTAAGTACACCCGCCACCTGCCAATAGGCATTAGGAAGGATTTAGTAATTAAGTGATAGGCTGAGGACTAAATTGGGTGTTTGTGGGCTGGCAAGCCACCCCTAGGTCCCTGCAGCCATCCAGATAGGGAATTCTAATTGCCAGGAATATTGATCAGCCTGGCAATGGGGGTGCACAGGGAATTCACTAGCCATTGATTAGCTGTTACTGCACCTCACTAGTCAATGGAGAAGGGAGGTGAGCACTGGAAAGGCTCTGGGCTTTTCCCACAGTATCCTTCACCACCACTGACTCCTGACACATGCACACAGTTGGTCAGTGACACAGCATGTTGTGATGGAGGCCCTCTCTAAGCTTCTACATACATCCTTCTCAGTATCTGTAAATCTGGTGAAAACAAAGTCGTGAGCAAGGCACTTAAGCAAGGAACTAACCCTGAACGGTCTCAGGAAACACTTTTCAGTTGCATGGTGACTGCTGGATGCAGAGAGCTGGCTTATGTTCTGGCTGATCGATTATACACCTGAGACACAGGTGAGTGAAAGCGGAGCTGACTGGGCCAGGTAATGGGTGTGCTCCAAACACAAGACCAATGTTGGGCCAAAAAGCAACTGTCTGCCAGAAACTGATTGCGCAGAAGGTCAGGCAGCCTGTTCACCCACTTTATCTATATACAGTATACTCTGCTTTTGTCAGGCTTAAACATAATAAAATGCATAAATACAAAGCAATATACCTCATTTTATAAATGCAAAATGACAGCTGTGGAACTGTACAGCTGACTGATAATACAACATGATAATGAAGTGAGTTTCAGAAATCTCAATTTACTGCTCACGGCTAAATTATTGGTTGTCTATTATATAGGGTGTAGTGATCTCTGACACAGCCAAACTTTAAAATCATTTTTTCTATTTCGTACTTATAATTTGACTTAACTGGTAATGTCATGTTCCTAGTTCCATTCATCCTGCCGCTTCTGGTGATTTTCCAAGCAACTTCCAGTCTGATCATCCTTTTCCAAATGAGAAGAAGAGAGATCAGTCTCAGGAATTGTATTAGCCCTTATTTCTTTCAATAAATGGATGCAAATTCATCTTTGCTGATGGGCATTCCGCAGGTTTCATTCTCAGTTTCTCTAATAGAGATTGGACCAGACTTAGTATTCATGTTTAATCCAGAAGCAGCAGTAGAGTCTTCGATAATTCTCACTGCCTTACAATCCTGGACATCCATCCTACAAAGGTTCATCCCACATGACATGTCATTTCACTCAACAAAATATCCATGCCTTTGAGTCAGTTTAGTTTTTCTTCCCCATCTACATATGCTTGTGTTTTAAATCTGTGCTGAGAAGAAGCAGAAGCAGTGAGAAGGTCTGCTGCCTGGCAGTCTCTAGCCCAAGTCATTTAGAACCTATTACAAAACATCAATATATTGATTGAAGTAAGTGTCTCAGTGTGCTGCTCTGTAAACACACTATTGGTTGGTTGTGCATGTTTTATCTGCTTGAATCCCATCAGGATTTTAATCTTTTCCTCTTTAATTTATTTAATTGTTACACTACTGATTTTTGAGCTGAAAATTTGAATCACTCCACCGATTTTCTTTTTTGGTCATTGAGAACATAATTTTAATAATATACATCTGACTTTTATTTCAATATAATATAATTTTTTATTTCATGTAAGAAATACAAGTACTATTGGTACTTTAAACATGTTGAATGAGACATTTTCATAAATGGATTGTGGTGAAGCCTGTGGGCTGTGTGATTCAAGATCAAGCCGGAGCACGCCTCATATACCAAAAACAGCCCAGGCAGCAGGAGCAAAATGTCAGGATGATCAGTAATGAAAGGAGAGGAGTTCTATTAAAGGAAGACAAAGAATAACTTCAGACAAGTCTTTACTAAGCTTACAGCCAGATCAGAAAAGTTCCACAAATGCTAGAAAGTATTAAAACTTATATACTATTGTCTGTCTCAAGCAAGTTTGTTGTTTTACTGGAATTTTCAAAGTCAGATATTTTTTGGGTTAAGGTGCAATGATAGAGTGAATGTTAGAGATGTGTTCAATCCAATATAAATGATTTCTGTGCTTCTTTTCTATTAGATTTGATGTTTTGTATTGACCTGCTGAAAATGTTTACTTCCTTATTGGCATGAAATATATATATATCTATTGATGGTTTACACTTTTGTGAGAGGAAGGCATTTTTTTCAGTGTTGATCTGTTATTTATCACATCCAGCAGTACCAGACTGTAAGGTGAGCCTCGGTATTTGAGTCCATGATCCAATCTAAGCGTCTGAACTGTGTGATTTCCAAGGTCATTTTGTGATCGCTGAGGGGGGATGCTTTTCTTCTGATTGAAGCCTAACTACAGCCGTTTATATGGCACTCACAGTCTCCCTCCAGCCATGCTCACAAATTGAATTAGTTTCAGTCTGAATTTGTGTTTCAAAACTAGTAATTATTTTTTAACCCCAGAGGAACCCAAGAGAAATGAGTCAGATATTCACAAGTCATGAAATCTTACAATATATGGTTTTACACCAACCAAAGGGACATAAGCCTGAAGCACAGCAATTTACCAACTATTCATCTGTTAGCAAATTAAATCACACCACATTTCACATCTTTTAGAAAGTTAGATAAATCTGATGAAAAAGTTTCCCTCTCAATTACCATCTAAAATTAATCTCCTTAATCCCAATTTGATCTCTTTCATGCATATAACGGGTATCTTTCATCTGCCCACCTGTGTGCTTTAAAAATGCACCACACATGACTGTCAAACCTAGTCCTACGTGAAACTCCGACACCCATGCAGCTCCATGAGATGAGAGCGCTGATTAGGAGAGATGAGGACAGAAGGGCGTAACAGACAACTGTCTGTGGTCTCTCTCTGTAGCTGGTAGAGCTGCAGAGCGCCTTCCAGAAGCAGATGTGGCTCATCTACAGCTGTGCACAGCAGAGCAGAACTGGAAAAAAGTCAAAAACACAGTGTACTTCTACAACAAATATTTATTGACTTTTATTTAGTTTTTCTACCAAATGATGACAATCTGAAAGGCAGACTACTGCTTGCCATTTGCATTGCCATTAGCCATTATGCTTTATGAATGCCTGTAATAATGTGCAAGCAGACACTGGTTCATTTTTAGGAGTCAGACTGAAAATATTCAGAACCATTGTTGCAGACTGTTATTATTATGCATTTCAAGTGTTTGTGTGCACTTCACTCTGTCAATATGCATTTTAGCTAGTGCTCAGTGTGTGTGTTTTATGGGATGTGAAGGTGCGTGGGCTGTAGTGTATGGTATCCTGGCTTTCACCTGGGAGAGCAAACAGGTGGTTTCTTTTCATTTGGCACCCATCTGTCTCAGTGGCACTGGTCCTCCTCAGCATCCTAAGAACAAAAGATTAGGGCAGAAAGGAATCGTGGGGTGGCAAGTGATCTCAGTGTTATGTCTCATCTGCAGCAGAGGAGTTTCCAGCTGGCAGAGGAGAGAGGATTAGCGGGAAAGGACTAAAGAGGTAATCAAACTACAGGCCACCAGCAAACAATCACAGGGTGAGCTGCAGGTTCAGAATATTCACCTCTGGTCACCCAAACCTGCTCCCGGTATCCAGGCAGCCAGGACCACAGTTGGTATTGATCAGGCCCATTTACACACCAGCCTTCTGCTCTTTGGTTCAGACTGTGGTTCAGTGGGTAAAGTGGTCATCTCCCAAGCGGAGGGTTGGGGGTTCAAATCACAGTGCCTGCAGTCCGCATGTCGAAGTGTCCTTGGGCAAGACACTGAATCCCCAAGTTTCCCCTGATGGTTAGAGCAATTGGTCTGAGTTGGCGCTGCAGATGGGTATCTCGGGTCTGTACCAGAAACAAATTCCTTGTGTGTAACATACTTAGCCAAAGGTGATTATTATTTACATAGCGTTTTGAACAACCATCACCCTACGTGCTCTGAGCACAGCTACAGTATGAAGAGGGAGAAGTATGAAGTATGAAGTGAGAGAAGAGGAGTCTCATCTCATTTCTCAACCATGATATTAGTTTAGAATAGCCAGGGCTGGGAAAGGACACAATGCCAGGCCTTCACACAGCATTTTAATCATAAGTGTGAATCACACAACTTGTTTCAAGCAGAGTTGCAACCTCCACTCTCTTCACTAATTGTACACAACAGGAACGATCAGATTCTGTTGCTAAGAAAAGGTGAGACCCGTAGCTCTGCCCTTTCTGTGTATTCCTAAAGTTGATTTCGAAAATTTGGTCTTTTTCAGTAGTCAAGACCTGGTGTGCAGTACTGTTTTATGATATTACCTGCTGGAGAGTACTGCTTTATTTTAGCCACTCACATGCCTTAATACTGTTGACCTCAAGTATTAGTGTTTTGTTAGTTATGTTTGTTTTGGTCTGTAGCTCCCAGTGTGCACATTGTTACTTGATATCTGCTCTAAGTGCCATTCATTTCATTGATGTGTGTGACTTTACATGCATGATTACCTGCACATCTTTCCTGTCTTTGTGTGTGTGGTGACTTCTAAGACAGGAGCACCTCTCTGGCTCATCTCTAAGGCCTGGCGTCAGCCTCCTTAAGTGCTGTCAATGTCACATGGTAACAGCAGCACCGCAGCCTCTTAATTGGTTTAGGAAAAGCATCCTTGTCATTTTGTGGTCAGTAAACTCCACTAGAGAAAATGAAGTCCATGCTGCTGCCACCTCCTCAACCTCCACACAGCCAGCCTAACAAAAAATAATGATTATGTGCCATGTATATTTGTACGTTCTCCGTCTGTTTTCACTTTTTGCTTTTAGAAATAATTGCTGTTGGTTGTGTGGCTGCATCACAGGAAGGGCATTAATGAATCTCACTGGCCGTAAGGAAACACTGCACTGCAGAGGGTAGGAGGGGAGCAATTCATTTTCTGGAAATAAACACATGTGAGCATGTGTATATGCATTTGTGACTGAATGTGTTTGTATGGTAAATAATTTTTAGTAGTTTCCTCACTTTAGTGTGCAGTACATTGAATGCGGCTTATAATACTTGGTCCTGTTGAGTGTGCAGATATGCATCTCTGAATGACTTTTGTGCATGGTGCATATGTGCGTGTGTGCAGTGTATGTGCATGGATTAGATTGTGAATGCTGCAGGAGGATGATCAGACTGGAAGCACACCAGGGTTGCTGTGCGATCACACAGGGATTATGGGGGATATGGAGCTGTAGTGCATTCCAGGGCTGCCTCCAGTTAGGCTCATCTCTGCCATGCTCCCCTCACACACACACCACTTTAATTGCCTTTGCTTCTTTCATTACTTTTATTGCCTCTCCTCTGCATTGCGTGCTCCCTGGGCTTGTGGAAAGGTCATTGTGATGGTGGTGGTGTGCTCACAGCCTCCATCTCCCTGACTAACAGGAAATGGCTGTGAGACTGAAGCTGGGGAAGGGAATGACACAGGAGAGTAACCACTGAAAGGCTGTGCACTGATTTTTATCACATCTACAATTCATCATTTCAAACCAAGTCTGAGTGAATTATTGAAGTCTATACCTGAATTATATTTTCAAATGTGTCCTTTAAATTTCCAGTGTGTGTCATTTATAGAAATAAAGGCAATTTCATTAGGTGGCAACTTGGATGGCAGTGATATAGATTCTTACTTTGACTAGCTACTGCATATACAGATGCTACTGAGAGGAATGCATAATCATAATAAAAAATAGCTTCATTACCTAACAAAGGGTGGAGATGGGCAGACAATATGAAGCAGTGAAGAGAGGAGAAGTATAATTTTAATGAAAGTAGAGAATTTTTCAGATAGTTCAGGTCTAATGTATCACATGCATAGGCCTCGTCAGCATGGCACCATAATTCCACAGTAAATGTCTCCTAGCTTTTTAATACCCCTGTGCATGCTTCTTTTCAGGCTTTACACTCCATGCTTGAGTCTGTAAAACAGACGTACAGCAGAGCAACAGGTGACATATTGACAAAAACATTTTGCTGTAGATATTTAGATATTTTATTTCAGTCCCACTGCCTCTGTCAACCATTTCTATTCCCTCTCTGTCCCAGATCAGTTAGAAGTTTTGTGTTCAGTCGCACGGTTCTTATGTCCACAAGATGCCCTCCCCTGTCAACCACTTGGTCCTGCAATGTAAGCAAGGCCTTAATACACACCCAACAACTACTTAGGTCTCTCAGTAATTATTTCCCCCCAACAATAGCAAATGCATATTCTATCATATCCCAGACAAGCAAATGAAAAACTGGCACTGAAAATAAAAAAGGAAAGCAGGAAGATCATTCATCTTTGCCAAGAATAAGGAAATGGACAGCGGGGAGTTGTATTTGATTTACTCTGTTGCAACAGTGTGTGAAATATAGTGCAGTTTCTGTTTGTGTGTATGTGTGTGTGTACAGGAACACGAAAATTTACCTGCAGGAGGACGTGAAAGCTCAGCAAATTGAAGTCATAGGACTTGAAGCTGAGCTTGATGAGAACGGCATCCAAAAGATGATACAGGTATATATTCAAACCTCCAAATATTGTGGTACAGATCAAATGTTCACATTTCCCATTTTATTTACATACGGCATGTTAGGACCTGTGATGAGCCGTCCCTGGTAGGCTAGTGGTTAAGGCGCAGCGCTCTCGCCACTGCACCCCGGGGTTCGAATCAGGGTTGCGTCAGGAAGGGCATCTGGTGTAAAACACATGCCAAATGTTAGCATGTGAGTCATCAGTGTGACGATTCGCTGTGGCGACCCCTAAACGAGAAAAGCCAAAAGTGACTTTCTTCATGTTAGGACCTGTGATGGTGCCAGGGTGTGCTTGTGCCTTCCAGAAAGGGAGCTGGCATACCCAAATGCAAGCTGTAGAATGGATTTTTAGTTATTACAAACAGAATTCAAATGAATAAACAAAAACATTTTGTTCAAAATTATGCCCTTAAAGGTCTGGTGGTGTCTGTAAACAGTTCTACTAGTATCTGTGACAAGATCACAAATTTTGAAATTATCTTGCTGAACATTAGAACAGGGAAACCAAAGGCTGGGTTTCAGTAACAAATTACAGAAGTCCTGAAAGTCAAAACAGCCAAAAACAGCATGGTGATTACTCTACAAAGGTGCTCTTTAGCTTCACCAGCCTAACATCCTCTGAGTTGTAAGGGGGAAAAAATGGATGTGACACACTGTTTTTACGAAGCACACCCACAGTCCTTTTTCTGGCTACATTAGTGGTTAGGACATTACACATAGAGACCTTAAGAACTAAACAGCATAATGTAAGTGTTTCAGCACTAATAGATAACTTAGAAAGTCCTGACTGCAGAATGTCAGCAGCTATTAAATATTTCTAAAAAATCTTACAGTATATGGGCTATGTGCAGTGATTATATATTTGTTATTATAATACATGTGGTAAAATGAATTTATTTCTACTGGGGAAAAGTGTTATTTTCTAGATGAGCCACCTGAGACACTTGTGTGTAACACAACATGACCTTCCTCCTACTGTACTTAATGATTCATGTAGGCAGAAGGTCTACGTTTGTGCTTCTGTGTAAGGAGCTATATGATTTTAGAATCACCATGAAAGGTAATGAGAATAGACTAAATTCAACATGTGAATGCCATTGATTTCTCCAGTCACTATAAGCACCACCTGGGAGGAAGGAGCAGGGAGGGGTGCAAAAGAATTTATGTATCTTTGTGTTTTGATCTGTGTTGATCTATGTTGATATTTATCTCATTAGAGTTCTTCAAAGTAAACTGCCTGAAATGGGAACTCTTGATTCCCGGTCCTTCTTTCACCATTCAGTTAGAATGAGATGTAAAATTCATCCTATCATTAAACCTTTGATGTCAGTTTGAAAGCCCACTGCAGCACCCTTACCAACATATCTATCCTCTTGTTCAACAAAAACATTAGAACAACTAATGTCATAGACACAGTTTAACCTCCCTTAGTATACTTAATTTCATGATTTGGTGTGGCTCTGATCATTCTGCTGTATTAAATGATGATAGTCTTGACAAAAACCCCCAGTTCTCTTCCAGAACAGAGGCAGTATATCTATACAAGCTGTGTGAGTACATGCTCTATGCTTTTGCTCTGGCTGACTCCAGAGACGGTGTCAGTGACAAAGCAGCAAGCTTTCAGACTGAGCAAGTGTGTTTCTGGAGTGGCCCATCTGAAACACTGGTCAATACAAACACTCACCAGCACATCACAGACAGTATCACTGAAAAGCAAAGCTGCTGCGTAACTCCAGGATTTTATTGGCTGCCATGTTGATTTTTCTTGTTCTGGGATTAGCATAGGCCTTAGTGTGTTTGTGTGACTAATGGTCTGTGTTTTCCAACTGCAAAATCAGCAGTCTGAGAGCCCTGAACAGCGTGCGCATCAGTGTTTGAAGTCGCCGCCCCCCTGGGTTGTGCCTCTGGGTCCTGCTGCTAATGCAGCCCCAGCACATTTCTCTTTCCATCTCTCAGAGCAGAGGTTCTCCTTTACATACTGTACAACCATGTTTAGCACTCCTCTCCTCCTGCACCTGCCATGACCCCCACTTTAATCAGATTGACTAAGGCCTGCTTGTGTTATCCCCCATGTGTGTGGCCCAGCCCTGACTAATGGCCATAGCTTGTTAACACTGAAGACCCATTTGTTCAGTTTGCTGGGAATGTTCATGGTGGCAAAGCACACGGTGCGTCAGAGGATGAGGTCTCACCTCCCAGGCACAGTTTCAGCCTCTAGAGTTGGCAAACTTTTCACCCAAGGACATTCTCTCCTCTAGCCAGACAGACAGATGTATGTTAGTTGCTGTTAGTGTTCACCAAGACCACATAGGACACTTGAAGTAAACATGTCACTCAAGCATCACCATGGAAACTTCTACCATTCTCTAAATAAAATATTAGTTGTATGTGTTGCTTGAGAAAGGGTTATTTGTTGGTGGAATGGTGTTCTACAGTTGAAGCCATCTAATTTTTATCAGTCAATGCCATCCTGCTTTAAAGTAAGCCAGATTTATGTTACCTGACATTTGCCTGCAGCACATTCCTATCTGATATCCTCTCAAATTGAAAGGAGGGAAATTGGGGCTGATTGAAGGGATAAGTTTTCAGTGGCTGAAGGACACAAGCAGCGTGAAAGCGATGGGAGAAAGATGTAAACCCAATCTGCCATGTGTTGACTGTACTGATTAGGGGCTTGTGCTAAGAAGAGCCTCTCTATCCCCTCATTCCTTCTGTTTACTTTGCGCCTCACCACCCTTCTCAGCACAGGCATAACTGCAACCGTAACGCTCCTCACCCAAACCCCCGTATCCCTTTTTTGACTTCAGTCATATCACCTGCATTACAGAAGGCTGCTTTGTGCTCCTTTGTATGCCAAACCAGCCCAGTAAAAAGCTTAAGTAGGGCTAAAGCAAGTCTAGTTTGTTAATCTATTAGAAAAAGTGGAGTAAGCAGGGTTATTGATGTCAGATTTATGACTTGTCTGAATATTTGCCTGATTAGCCAGCTCTATTGACAGCTCTACCTGTATATTTGTTAAGACCAGAGGGGAGCTGAAAACTCAGCTGATTGAGGGCCACAGGGTGACTGGAGCAAAGTCCAGCTAATGTTTTGCAGTATTCAAAAAGCCTGCAGGGAGCCAGGAGTACTGAGGTAGGCTGAAAGCAAACCAGCAGTCCAGGAAATAATAATAAATAGAAAAGAAAGTGGTTGGAATGGCATGATAGGAGCTCGCTTGTTTATATATGATGTCTGTATGCCAGGTGGGGTCTGAGGGGGAACATGGCTTTCCCCCTCAGAGCCTTGCTCCCTAGCTTTCATTAAGTATCATTACCAGTACTTTCAGAAAGCTGGCCAGGCTGAGACCTGACATCCCCATACAGATAGTTGGCTATGCATATGGATGGATTTCTGATCCCTCTTATCCACCACTGAGAAGCGGGAACTAGGCCAGCGAGACGGAGCATGGGGGGCTTAAAGGGTGCGTCCATATGTGAGTTTAATGGCTAAGATGGAGCTATTACTTCAATTGAGTCACAGTGTTCAGCTTGGTTTGTTGTTGTGTGTATGCAATTCAGGTTATCAACAGTGGGAGTGTTTCACATAATATTTTCCTTTTTTATGACCATACGGGTGATGTACACACTCTTGTGAAGAATTGTGTTTTCATTTTGGCCAGTTGTACAATATATACCCCCAATGACAGTTTAAAATAACACATGCATTTCTATTCATTAGCAATTTGCTCTTCTAGCTCACTTACTTTGAGGACATCCCCTGATGGGGGGAGGGGTCATGTTATTTGTATATCAGGGAATAAAATATTCATATTGCACGCTTTTCTGAGCAGATGTTATCTAGGTTCAGTGTAAATGGTACTTGGGATTAGATTTTTGTAGTAGATTGGTGTTATTAAGGGGAAAAGCCAACTCCTTTTGAGCAGTCATCTTCCTGGGAGGCAATCTATTTCTCTTTCACACAGCCAGAGTGCTGGATCAGGCTCTTAATGCACTGAAGCAAAAGTGCTTTGGTCCGCAAACTTTCACGCCTTCAGCCCTCCTTTATGTGATTGAATAGTTAATAACTATGAGTCGCATTTGAAAGCTCTGTGCCGTTAGTCCTTGTGTGGCACTTCTCTTTTTTTCTGTTTGGCTGCTGTACCTGTCCATTGCTCTGTCTGCCTGCATGTCTCCTTGCCCGAGATGCCAAGTCAACTGATGGCCCACCTCTTCTTCACCAGCCCCTCATACTTTTATCTTTGTCTCTCGCTTGACTTGCCGCTTGTGCATCTGACTGTCATAGTCGGTACATCAGAATTTTGAGTGTCAGGCATCAGCTTTTTCATCTCCTATACTTCCTCTTTCTCTTCCTATACGCATTCACACAGACAGCTACACACACACACTTGCACAGCTCATTAGCCCACGCTCACAGCTCTGGCAGAATGTGACCCTGCCTAATTGTGTACCATGCTCATTTGTTCTCCCTGCATGATGTGACGATTGCTTATCTATTCTCCTCAGGGCTCCCATCTCACATTAAAATGATTGACTCATTTCATTCACTGCACATTTCCAAGCTTTATTTGATAAGCTTGTTTCCCTCGGCATCCAAATCCCTCCTTTTCCCATGCTTAAAAGTTATAATGTTAGACATTATTATTCATACTAAGGGTTGTTTCTTCGGCTAATTATCTGTTTTAGAAAATAATTTTGTACGTGTGATTCTGTTTATTCCGGTGGAATTGAGCAGCACAAAAGGGCGAACATTAACGAGGCAGTTAGAATAACTGAGGAGCCAATTGTGTACACAAAGCTGGCAGACGCGGTCAACAAGAAGCTTAAGAGTGATTGGGACACTGTGGAAGCTCGGCCGGAATAAGCAGAGCAAATTTGCATTGTGTTAGAATTTGCATCTAGTTAGAGCTCTGTTTTATAAATAAAAAAGACATCAATCTTTCATTCCCTTATTGTAATAAGGGAGTGTTTTGACACAGAAAAGAGCATAACAAGCCATTTTTGATTGGGGATTTAGGCAGCATTGTTGCAGAAGGATTTTCCTTTTTTTTTTTTTTTCCTCCACCTCATGACAGTCGGTGTTTTCTCCCTCCAGCTTCTCCCAGCCCTCGGTGACACAAGAGCTGCCGGAAACCTGTTCAGTGCACCGCTAGGTCAATTCTGTGTGAGATTTGTGATAGCAACAAGCACATAAAGGTGTTATTAGCAGAAGTTAGTAACCGAACAAGTATGAAACATTGTCAAGGTTGGGTATTGAAACTCCACTTGTTTGGTTGCAACCAAAATGCATCTAAGTGTCAAAAACTGTGAAGGAAAGCAAGTTGACACTGAGTGATCTGGCTTCATTAATCTGTCAAAGTGACGCTTTCTGTCATTCAGACATGAGGCCAGTCATTTTCTATATTAATAGTATTTTCAGAAATCCTGCGTACAGAGACAAAAACTGACAATAAATTTCCTCTATTCATGGTTAATGTCCATCACTGTGTGTCCTGGGTCAGCTTATGCGTCTGTGCCATGGACCTTGTACAAAATTGATTAAAAACACATTAGGAAACACATCGCTGTACTGGGTGACATACAGTATTTCTTTATTAGCAAACACCAGACCTGAGTGTGAGCGGCTAACAGAAAACAAAGCTGAGAGGTTGCACAAAATCTCGCACATGTGCAGTTGATTCCTACTAACGTCAGTAATTTATGGCCGCACGGTGACTTTAATTGGCAGCATAGTCTGGCCTGGTGTTTCGTTTAATAAAAAAAAAGTGTCATGAAGCCTTTGGGGCAGTATTTAAAAATATATTAGGATCTTGTTTCATAATGAGGAAATAAGTCCGCCAGTGCAGTGGTGTGTTTCCCTGATGTGTTTTTAATACATTACTGAAAGATACAGTTGGTTTTTTTTGTCCAGCTGCCATTTCATTAGAGTATTTAACATTTTGTGTTGTAGATAGCCAGACATGACTGTTACATTACTATCAAAATATATAAAGCTAAAAAACTTAATTTTGAACCAACTATAATCAAATATTAGACCTCAGTCATGGACTAAAATGAATATGGAATGAATATTTTTTTTAAGTTTCTGTGTGTTGTTGTCTACAAAAGAAAAGTAGAGTTCATGTTTTGAGACGGTGTACTCCTAGAGCCCTGCACCCGACCAACCAGTGTAGCCAAAGTCTTAATGAATATGAGCAGATAGACAAGAAATTGCAGCCAAATAAAAGAATAATAAAGGCATCTAAACCCTAACAAGTCTGCCTTTGTTCTTCCACTCCACCCACCACAAGTTGGCTGTGTGAAAGCAGGCATTGTTGAAGCTTTGAGGGCAGCTCTGAGAGTTCCATGCCCATCGGCCTTCAATCACATGGGATGTCTGAGTTTGACAGTATAAAGTCTTTCTTCTAGAACAAAATAAGACCCTTAAGCAATAGTGGATGAACTGTTAGTAACCACAGAGTCCACAGGGATGTGGTCCAAGCATTGTAGTACAGTATACACAAAGTGTTGGTTAGGGATAAGACAATGAACCAGTGAAAACATTACTGGTTGCATCAACACTTTTAAATTTCTTACATTTACTATCAAATGTAAATAGTATCTGTTATTTTCTACTAACTCAAAATTCAGTTTTACCAAATAAAGGTCAAACAACTGAAAATTTAAGTTTCAGTTAAATATGGTGAAACTGACTAATGTAAAAAAGAATAAATACCCAAAGCAGTCATTTTTCACTTGTACGAGTTGCATTAGTGACTCTCTCCTTCTTCCATTGAAGTTGCATTTATTGTTTCCTTTTTTTCCCAGAACCCTGTCATCCCATACTTTTGGTTGTGCCCATCCATTATTTCCTTTGACTTTTCAGAGGGCATCAGCAAAAATATTCTGAGCTTCTACAGCAGCAGTGAAGTGGATCTCCTGTCGCTGGATTGTAGTAGGTACGTTGTTCACACTCTGGCAGCATTTAAGGATTGATTACAGCCTTATAGGAAGAGGACACCATCAGTATTTCCCTTAGCCAAATCAATAGGCAACTTTCTTTCCAGCATAGCAGTCAATACACAACACTTAAGGTGTCTGAGGAAACTAAAGAACAGGAGTAATTGTTATTAATGCCTTGAATATCACCAAATGTTACATTTAGAGGTAGTCCTCATCTAAAAGACATTCAGCCATAGCTGTGCATACAGTAGTGTATCCACCAAATGCCTCTCTGCCTCTAGGAATATATGTTTGAATAGTTTGTACAGGAATGATCAAAGAGAGAATGACTAATGCTATACATCAGCATAGTTGCAATGAGCATAGCATGCTGAGACTAGCATTTAGCTCAGAGCACGCCAATGCAAAAGCATAGTCTTAGTGAGCCCCTAGCAGAGTAGATGTTTTAAGTGATGACTGCTGTTTACAGGACTTTCTGCAGATGTGTGTTGGTTGTGACCAGTTATCAATAAATTGTATAAAGAGGTGTTACTATTTGCACTTTGAAAATGTCTTTTTTAGTAACTGTAGTTGATATTAAAATGCTACAAACTTTAAAGATTCTGTTTCCAATTGATTTAAACTATTATTATTGAAACAAAAAATCTACTTCAGTATTGACTTAGCATTATCCACTACTACACTGGCTTAAGTAGATGTTTAAATCATATCTGTGTTTTAATTCAGTTTAAAACACCACAGATTTTAATAAAATATCCGCAGAAGAATCTAAAATATATTGCAGGGACACAACACGCAAATAGGCTTTAGTGCACCAATTTGCAACACCAAGCACACACTGTGCACAGCGCAACGCTATCGTGCACGTAGTAATGAAGTGAAGGACAGCTAACAACAGGCATACATTGCCTCCTGTTTCCATCATAAACCGCATGTGGGTTCAGGAATGGTGAAGGTAAGGGACTACAGAAGAGTGTATGTGTATGGCCTGGTATTACTCATGTTGTGGGGGCATCTGTGAACACAGTCCCCTTGTAGTGACTTGACAACTTTATGGGAACAAAAAGCAAGTCCTTAACATGTAAATCATTACCTGAGGTTGGGTTTAGTGTTAACAGGTAGTGGTCATGGCTAAGGTTAGGGTAAGTCTCCAGGAAATGAATGCAAGTCAATGTGATGTCCCCTGAAGTAATGGAAGCACAACTTGTGTGTGTGTTTGAAGGAGGGAGGGGTGTAACATTCAAAATTCAATCAAGTGAAGGCCATCTCCAGCAGGGTAACATTGAGTGGAGGGAGGAAGATGAGGGGAAACTCTGCTGAAGTTTCCACTGGGCCTGCTGTGCTCCTAATGCAGCCTTGGATGTAATTGGGTCCCAGAAGGCTGTTCATTATCAGGGGTGAGCGAGGCAACAAAACAGAAAGGGGTGAGAAGAGAAAGAAAATGTCTCATTCTTTGCTTAGTGCCTCTGTCCTGCCACCATTATTGGGACAAGAGTTAATTAAAAGAGCAGTTGATGCCTCTGTTTTTCTCATCAATCTCACTTCTGCTCTTATTAAGTTTGTAATGACAGCAGAGCTTGTGCCTGTCTGCCACCAGATGCACAACAAGGGGGAAGAATGAGACGAGCGGAAGGGCGGGGCAGTTAATGTGAGGGACGGCTCATCTCAACAAGTCTCGCAGTGGTCAACAACTAACATTCATGTAATCCCTCCATCAAATCTCAGGGTGACGATATGTCGTCAACAGAGGAGAGCTGTGCGCTTATAAAAAGGCAGAGTCTTTATTTGGGGTATGGCACCAGAGCCCATTTAAGAGGCATGGCTTTGCACCCTAATCCTGTGGCGTCTATCTCCACTGCCTTGGAGGCCATTTTAATTCCCTCCATCATTACAGGGACCTTGCCTGGAAAGCTTTGGTAAAGGTGACTGCTGACACTGTCATTCACAAGGACTATTTCAAATGTCACCCCATAGCTGAGATTTGTCTCATTAAAGTTGGTGGAGTCCATTATATCCATCCCCTCCTCTGCCTGCCACACTCAATCAAGACGACTTGGTGAATTGAGGGGGCCGAGAGAATGCTCATAATCATGCTTATTTGCATAAGGGTTACAGTGAGACCAGCTATAGCTGACCAACAAGAAAGGAGTTGTAGCAAAGGGATTCAGCTAAAAGAACATTGGTAGTTGCTGAAGAAATTGCAGACAGACCTGCTTCTTTTTGTCTTTCCTTCCAAATTGATGCCAGCTAGTAGGAGTGGTTTCAGCTGAGAGACATCAAGAAGTGTAGAATAACCATGATAAAGATACTGGAGCAGATCCAAGCTTTTTTTTAAAACAGTTTTATGACCTGATGATTTACATACAACTTCAATAAAGCCAGACATAAGATCCACCCACATATAGCCAAGCTCTTCATCTAAAGCATATCAACATCTTTACAGCTGAGGGGTTTCAAAACCGCAGGATCACTCACGTAGATGTGTGGCATCTGCGGGTGCGGGTACCTGCATGAAGGACAGACCCGAGCTTTTTGTTTTGCTGTAATCAGTTTCAATCATCATCTCAGCTTGCAATTGTGAAGCTGAAACTGAAAACAGCTACTCTGGGAGTTTTCTTATGACTGTCTTTGTTATGTAGTTTACAGGACTGCTGTGTTTGATTTTCCTCATATTTGTATTTATATGTTGTGCTCCCAAGACCTCATTGACCTCAAGCTAGTTGCAAGAAAAAGTTCCACACGTGTGGCAGTTGATTGGTAGGATGAATGTATAAGTCCTTTTCCAACAATGTAATGAATGTCTTAAAGCTACAATGTGGGGTAATTTATAAATATTATTTTAGTAGAAACATCCCCCAAAACTTATCTTAATGGGGAGAGTTGCTGTGGAGGGTTCCTGTGACCCAGACTCATCAGTCTGGCAGCAGTGCCATTATAGCAAGTCCTAAAATCTGAAACTGAGTTTGCATTTTTGAACTTCCAGTTCCCTCGCTCTGAAGTCTATGGGTTTTTTGAATGGGGTTTTGGTTAGACCCCTGAAATAAGGTCTGTGATTAACACAAGGCCAATACATTTTCACGTTTTGTTCTGTGAAATAAAATACATCAGGAAATACCCCACTCGTGATTTTTAATCCTTTAAAACTAAAAAAAAACACAGGCTGTCTGGGGTATTAAATGTCATAACGGAGACTCATCTGCCTTGACAGCCTCATTATTTTTTAACTCGCATACTTGCAAACTGGTCTAACTAAAAGGTAATTCATTTTTTCTGCATGCCCATGCACGCCAATGATTTCCAAGCATTGTAACACAAAGTCGGGGCTTTTGCTGTGCAGATCATCCACGTGGACACAAACGTTTGGCCTGCACGCTGACGTCCATGTGGACCCTCGCAGACCTGGGAAGATTATGAAAATTCCGTCAATGGACCTTGGCAGACAAGCAAATGTACAAAGCATGATTTGGCTCTCTTCACTAATCCCAATGTCCACACTCACAGACTCACCGACTTTGAGGCACGCTCCCACTGAGTTAGAGGACTCATGGCTGTCCCACTGCGAAATCGTCAAGCGCATGAGGGCTCTCTTGCCTTCTTTTTGAGCCCTTTATGCTCACTTTCTGTACGTCGGCATTTCTGCAGACTTTACTTGAGGGAATTCCCCACAGTTCACTGCGTTGTGACGTGACAACACGGGATTAGCTTACTTTGCCTGGGGAGGGCTGAAAGTGTAAAAAGGGTCAACAAAAGTCATAAAATGAAGATAAGAACAGTAAAAAAGATGAACAGTAAAACAATTATTCTTAACTGATTATCCTGTTTTTGAATGTCACTTGTTTATATGACACAAACGCATCGGCTAAATACTGCAACTTAAAAACTCCTCACACTGCCTATTCATCAACTATTTTTGCTTTTTTGCTTAATGATGCCCTTTCGATTAAAAACGTAAGTTAACTTGATTAGGTAATTGACAATTGCCCCTTGTCTAGATCACGTTCAAATCAGCCAGTCAGTCCCGGAAGTGTCTTGGCCATGAGGAAAGTAAAAAATATAAAATTAAAAGCTTTAAACCCACAAGAGTTGTAACCATGGTGTCGTTTTTGCCATTGTCATGGTGATGTGATAGCCTAAGTGATGTTCTATTCCTATTCTTTAAATTTCCCGCCCTTGTGGAATTTTCCACTCAATGACTTACAGATGATGTCACAAAGGTCTTTGAGGGGTTAGGGCTTGAGACCTTAGAGAAGGCATTGGGATTAGAAATGCTTGCACACCCTTCGTCTGTGTCCACATGTACATGAGGGTATGCACAAAACATGAATTCTTCATTTCGGCCTGTACGTGCACATCTGCGCAGACCTGGGAAGATGACAAAAATTACATCATTCGACCTTTGGGGACATGCAAATGCACAAAGCACGAATTGCCTCTAACAGGAAAGGATTTTGTAGAAGAAGAAAGTGCTATAAATAAGATTACAAATTTAAAGCCACGGTGGTGTAGTTCATTTATAGCCTAACAATAGTGTTTTGATCGTGGCGATTGTATTTGGGCTGCAAAAATCATTAAAGTTGTGTTCCCTTGTGGAGATTATCTTGCTGAACAAAACAGGAAAGTGTCATAAAGCATTGTTTGTCCAGGAGCTGATTTTTGCAACAATCCAAAAGCCCTTAAGAGTCCCAATGGCTTTTTATCGAGGGAACATGGTGATTCTAAGTTCTGGGCTAGCCTACAAAAATACATCAACCCAATGGCACTCTAACATCTGACATCGTTATGGCTGACTGTCAGGCTAGCAAGCTACTGATTTCAGTGTTAGGTGAGGCAACTGTATGAAGAAGCAGAGCAAGAAGTGAGATTTTTGAAGAGAAAAAAGAAAAGAAACCAACCCAACTGGATTTAGATCATAAAGTTATATTGGTGCAACTTTCAGCAGATGGAAAGAGTTGACAGAGAAGATTTACAAGCGGGTGCTGTTTTGGCATTGTTTCTGCTTGACTGATATGTTGTGAATTTATTTTTTATAGTAGTACAACAAGGATTCAAACCATTACCCTTTGTGCTTGTAGCTAAATTGTGGCAGAATGTGTCATTTGCGCTCCCAGTGTGATTGTAACAGCAGCTGGCCAAGCTGAGGATGTCACTGTGTTGCTGCTGTCTGGTATAATAATCAGATGTTACATCCAGGCAAGTTCTTTCACAATTAAGCCACCCAGTTGGTCTGCCACAGCTGTCAAATCAGGGTGTGACTGTGATTTACATTATTTTAATGCCCACCAGCTGAATGTGTTGTAATCGCTACTAACTTGGTTATTTTTACCCAAGAATCTGGTTCTCGGTCACCTCAGTTTGCTGTAGTGATATTACTTTGCAGTGTGTCGCTCAGTAACTACAATGATGTAGCTACACTCGAAAGTATATTTAATTCAACTTCAGACATTTTTAACATGTAGCTTGTCCTATATGTGATAGTGGGGGAAGTGTGTGGTTTTATTTCTTCTCCTGACCCGACCTTTCAGGGCACACTTATTTGTTGTCTGCCGATGTTCACAAACTGCTGGCTGTAATTGTGTCATGTCTACATGTAGTGTAGTGGAACTTGCTATATAGTTGTGCTGTAACACCAGTTTATGACTCATGTATTACATGCAAAAATTATTTGTCCCAGTCCAACAAAAATACAATTTTACTCACTGTCTTGGGTAAAAGTTTCTTTTCCAGTTAAGAAAAAATGGCATTCTCTCTCTCATTTTTGTGAAAATTGAGCGTGAATATATTATTGAAACATATTATTACAATTGTATTATTGAAAATTAAGTGAAATTATTGAAAAAAACAGGGATTTATGACACAACTGTTTTGTTCAGCAAGATAATCTTTACAAGTGAACACCACTTTTATGATGTTTGAAGCCCAAATATGTTCGCCAATAGCAAAAAGGTATTGTTAGGCTATAAATGAACTACACCACGGTCTGATGACTTCAGGGTCACCACCACAACTTCCAACTTGAAATTTGATTCATAGCACTTTTGTCTATTACGAAGTCCTTTCCTCTTAGTGTGACCTGATCTAGCTAATGATTATGGCTGTGTCAGAATACTTTGCAAGTGTGCAGGTTTGAAAATAAGGCTATAAAAGAGGACTAGTGAGTCAATAATCTCTGTGATGACAGCTAGCTAACTTATTGGTCTGGTCAAATGTCAGCTACAAAGCTAATGTTTAAGCTGTTTGAATTGTCTTTGAATCGATGTTACTGGTTCTGACAGCCGTGAATGGCATGTCTTCTCCGATGTTACTAAGAAGAGTTTCTGACAGCCGTGAATGGCATGTCTTCTTAATACGGGTTAGTTTATAGCATACGAATGCACATTTAATAATCAGAGGAGGTTTGTGAATGTTTCACTGAAAAACACGATATTCCCATAACATTATCAGATCTGAATTTTGTATGACTTGACTTGTGACTTGCTTGACTTATAGCAGGGACTCGACTCGACTTACTTGATTCTCACCACATAACTGGGGACTTGCTTGAGACTTGCATGTGACTTGCTCCCACCTCTGGCGCATTTGGTTGTGTTTTCAGTATTTGCATTGCGCTGTTTTCTGTATTATCAGCATGATTGTGTTTTTGTTTTCTGTATTTGCCATACATTTGTATATTTGTTTTCTAAATGCTGCACATCCGTTGTCAAAATTGGTAAAAGTGTTTTCTTAATGAAAGTAAAAAATGATTTGAGTTGTAGACACTCGACATGCACAGCTGAGAACTTCTAAAAGAACTAATCAGCATTGTTTTGTTTGTACTGAATATTTATAGCCTAACCTAATTTGCATTACATTCACTAACTTAGCTATCTTTCATGCCACTGAAAAAAATAACTTTAAAATGTGCATCAAAATGCAATTATTTTAGACACTTGCAGGGCATGGAGACCCATTAGTGATAATACTAAATGAAATCAGCTTGAATTTCAAAAAAATAGCTAACATTTATTTACCATTTACAAAAGATGAGAGGAAACTAATTTGCCCTGCTGTCTGAGTTCCATGTAGAAAACAAACAAACAAACAAAAAAAAAAACCTGCCACTGTCACTATCCAAACCTGGCCTTCACTAAACTGTTTTCTTACAGATGGACTATTCTATCTGAAGCTGCATGATATTCTGATCACCGGAGAGGGCGGAAGAAGGCAGACATCAACAAAGGTACATTTACACTTTTAACAGACACATTTGCAAACATTACTTTAGAGGAAAACCACAAAAGAAACTGACATTTTTAACAAACAAGGACCATGAAAATAGAGTTGGTATGTTTAATTCAGCGTGCTGATGTTTACTATGAAGCTAAACTGCATTACATTGTTAGAACAAGGTTAACAGATTGTAGATTAAGGTAAGTTGCCTAAACCAGTAAGATAGAGTGTGTGTGTGTGTGTGTGTGTGTGTGTGTGTGTGTGTGTGTGTGTGTGTGTGTGTGTGTGTGCACACACTCACCACACA